TTTCTATCGTGACTCCTACTCTCTACGAACTTTATACTACTCGCAAACATCCACAATTGATATATATATATATATATATATATATATATATATATATATATATATATATATATATATACTTAATTTCATCTTGTCGTTTCAGGTCGTTGGCTGTTGCTTGATATCCCCGGTGTGGCTGCGCTTGATGTGCATGTTGATAAGATGCCTACCTGTCTATTACTACCTGATCCATGCTGGCTCCAGGAGACAGTTGCTGGTGGGGACGGGGTGCACGGTCATTGTGGCCGTACTGTCTCCTAGAGCCAGTATGGAAGAGGTAGTGAGTACTAGACAGGTCGGCACCTTGTCAGCATGCAAATCAGGCGCAGCCACACCGGGGATATCAAGTAACAGCCAATCACTTGGGAGAAAGAGAAGCAAGAAAATAAACCGAGTAATGCATAAGGAAACGGTGACATAAATTTTAAATTAGTGAGCGTACGAAATAACTTGTTTACAAGCGAATCCGAGCTTAGTTCACGAGGTCAAAAAGTATATTTTACGGAAATGCCACAAACGCGGAAATGTTATCGAAATTAACTACAATTGGCTTAAACGACGTGTGCAAGTTTATAGAAAAGAGTACAGGTAGACATTTCTATGAGAAAGAAAAGCATTAGGATAAAATTGAAAACCCATCACCTGAAATAAATGGACTTAGCATGCAAGCACGCGGTTAGTAAATCGAATGCAGCGTACCTACAAACGCTGCGCCGCTTCTGTCTACGTTCTCTGCAGGACCCGTCATCACTTCGGTAGTGGTCCCGAGGGGCTTTGCTCATGGCTCACTAGGCCTGCCTGACTCAGGTACTCGCGACCGCATGTGCTACAGTACCACGCGCTCGATATCGGTGGAGTACAACCCATCGGTGCTTGCCGCTTCTCTGCATGTCAGGTCTTTCTCCCGCACTGCCTTCGTGATTAGTTCGCGCCATGCACGCCGATCAACCGCCTTCAATTGCCATGACCTGCAATCAAGATTAGAACTTGAGATGCTCACTATAATCATGTCCTGGTAACGTAACTTTGGTTTCCCCACGTGCCGCTTCCCAATACTCAGTTGATCATATAAGACTTGTTTCGGTATCCGCGTCGAATCCATACGGCTCACAGGACCGAGCCACCTCAGGTGCCTCAGCAAAAGTATGCAGTCCACTGCATACATTCCACTTTTTTGCAACACTTCCATGTCCGCAACTCTGTCGCCCCAACCGATGCGCAAAATCCTTCGCAAACACTGTTGATGGAACCGCTCGAGATACCGCACATCCCGCTTGTACATCGTCCACGTTTCACTGCCGTATAGAAGAACGGACAGCACCATGGATTTGTACACCATCAGCTTCGTGCCAATGGTAAGCTGATGGTTGTTCCACACTCAGTACCCTAGGTTCCCGAATGCCGCCGCTGCCTTTGACACGCAATTACGCAGCTCAGTGTGTACCTGCTGATCAGTCGACATCACACTCCCATGGCAGCAGAAGCAGGAGGTGGTTTCCAATCTTTCAGCACCAATGCTGATTCGCGGCAATATCGAACATTGCACCTCCGGTGAAGGCTGAAAGAGACAGACAGTTTTGCTTATGTTTATGGTGAGCCCGAATTTGGCCGTTGTCGAAGCCAGAACACTAGTCATATGCTGCAACTCATCCGCTCTGTGTGAAAACAACGCACAGTCATCAGCAAACAGCAACATCCGGGTAGTTGTCTCACAGACTAGAGTTCTCGCATTGAAACGACGGATGTTCAGCAACCCACCATCAATACGGTGCTCCACACAAACACCGTAAGCACAAGTGGCATCAAAAGCACAAGACATTATTGCATGAAGATATATATTGAACAGGACAGGAGTTAAGACACAGCCTTGCTTCACACTAGCGACAATTGCAAAGTCATCCGAGGTCTCTCCACTCAGCTGCACCCTCGCTCGCATACCACTATGCAGACATTCAGTTAGACTTACAAACTTACGCGGGCAATCAAACTTACCCAACACCAGCCACAATGTCTCTCGGTTCACCGTAACAAATTCTTTGGTGAAATCAACAAAAAGCGAGTACAACGGCCGGTGTCGTTCTCTGCACTTCTCCTGTAACTGACGAGCGGCAAACACCATATGTATAATGCTTCGACCCGAACGAAACCCACACTGCTCTTCCGCCACGTTCGGTTCCACAGCCTGACTGACGAGTCGATTGAGCAGGATTCGAGCAATCACCTTGCCCATACAACTCAGCAAGTTGATGCCACGGTAATTCGCGCGACATTGCTTCCTCCCTTTGCCCTTGTACAGTGGTAGCACAAGGGCATCCTTCGGCTTAGGAGGCACTTCCTCCTCAATCCATACGCGTTGCACCAAGTGGTGCAGCGCAGTCAACAACGCGGGTCCACCGTGTTTCAGGCGGGATTCTGTCGGCCCCGGCACACCTGCCGTTAGGCAGCTGAGCAAGTGCTTTCTGCGTCTCATCCAGTGTTGGCGTGTCCGCCAGACTCGCCTTCACATCGTGCTGCTTGAGGCAGTTCATTGTAGGCCAGTCGATCTCTGAACGATTGTTCAAGAGACAGTCAAAGTGTTTTCGCCAGATCTGCATTATGTCTGCACTCTGTGTGCAGATAGCGCCTGAACTACCATCGATCAGCGTCCTCAGAAGTTCTAATCTCGATCCATACACTGCCTTCAAGGAGTCAAAGAATTTCTTGTGTTGGCGGCGTTCGGCGTAGCATTCCATCTGCTTCGCCTTCTCCGTCCATCATGCCTTTTTATTGCGACGGAGCTCTCGCGTCGGTCGCCGTCGAAGTTTGCGAAACTGACTACTCTTCCCCAAGTCACTGGGGTCTGCGATATGTGCAGCAAATGTTGCAATCTTCCTCGACACCAATGCGCCAGTCGTCGCATTGTTCTCACCAAACCAACCAGCCCGCTTACAGTTTGCGCGCCCGATGGTCTCCTCGGCAGCAGCTGTCACCTGGTCGCGAATGTGGTGCCACAGGTCGCCCACTGTGGCCATACAGTCCACATCACACAGGCGTGCAGCCATCGCCTTCTCCAGCTCAGTACGTTTCGCCCCAGTACCGAAGGAGAGAATGTTAACATTACGCCGATTCACGGCTGGAGTGCAATGCAAAGATTTACGAAAATATGTGTACAGTTCGATGCGCACCAATTTGTGATCAGTGCCATACTCAGCTCCACGCAGTGCACGTGTCATGTGCACTTCACGCATATCACGCTGACGTACGATGACATGGTCGAGCAGGTGAGCGTGACCACTCCGTGGGTGCGTCCAGGTTGCTATATCATTGGCACTCCGTGCAAACCGAGTATTCGTGATCGTCAGGCCGTGCGTGGCACACAGTGAGAGCAACCAGTCGCCGTTCGCATTCGCTGAACCAATGCCATGCAGACCGTTAACTTCTGTTCACATCGATGCATCACGCCCAACGCGCGCGTTGAAATCACCCAGCGGAAATAGTCGGTTGCTCCTCGGCACAGACCGTATCACGGAGGATAGCTCAGTGTAGAATTGATCACGCGTCTCATCAGGATAACACCTGGTCTGACCGAGACTGGACCTTAACGTGGTGCGTCGGTTTGCGTACCTCATTGACCCATTGAGCTATACTGGGTGATGCCTTCGAGCATCTTGAGACCTACTCCTACCAGGTTGCTCAATGGTGAGAGGTCAGACAAACTCAGTCTCCTGGTCCTCCAGGTTGGGGTTTGAAATGGGATGGCGTCCATTTCTGTAAAACTAAATCACTGCCACCCCGCTGCCTTGCGGACAGGCTTTTGAGCCAAAGGCTTTGGATGATTACCCTAATCGTTCTCCTGTCTAGGCGCCCTGGCAGTATCCCAGCCCACATACAACCATGACATTTTCTTCAAACATAAACTTCATCCTGCATCGGCCGTCGCGCAGATTATCAAGGGTCGCGTTATCTGCTGCATACAGCAGGGCGGATAAGCGAAAGCATACTACTGCTGGCGCCTCCCTTCTTTCTTTTCCACCTTTTTCTCTTACTCCCATCCCGGCCCCTATTACTAACCTTCCTTCTATAATTCCCAGCTTAATTGACAGCAACCGAAGTGCTACTGGAGTAGAACCATCTGCAGCCACCATCCCACCGCACCTATCGGACGCCTATCGGCAAAAGTTCCTTATAAGGCCACGCTGTCCCGTTTCCATGGCGACATTCAACGTCCGCACTCTAAGACAAACAGGTCAGCAGGCTGCACTCGCACGCACCTTGGACACACTGGGTGTTGATGTGTGTTGTGTGTCCGAAACTAGGATTAATGACCCTAACGGGGTTATTGAATTGACTGCACCCGGCTTATCCTCTCGTTATTGGTTGCACGCATCCGGAGACGCCGATGCGGCACTCACGGGTCAAGCTGGTGTAGGTATCATTCTCAGCTCCAAGGCTGAGTCATCGTTGGTTGATTGGGTTCCGGTGAACAGCCGTTTATGTGCAGCCCGTTTGACGACATCAGCTAAGGTGGATTCACGAAGTAAAACAAAACGCTGTTTGTTTGTGATTTCTGCTTATGCTCCCACGGACTGCAGTTCTAATGCAGTCAAGGACACTTTCTATCACGAACTGAACACACTGCTACGCAGTGCTACTAGTTCAGATATTATAGTACTTGCAGGGGATATGAACGCACAAGTAGGGCGTCTGAGCTCTTCAGAAGCTCAGCTGGGTGGTAATTATGGACTTAACGCCGAACGGACTGACAACGGCGAGCGTCTGCTGCAACTGTGTGCGGAGCACCAGTTGTTTCTTACTAGCACTGCTTTTTACTCCCCCTATTTCTCCTCAGTATCCCAATTCTACCCCCATAACTCATTACATCTCATTCCCCCCCATCCCCCATCCCAACCTAACCCTTATTCTCTTAACCCAAATTAAATCCCTCACTACCATTCTACCCATATACTCCACCATCCCATCAATTATCCTATACTAACACCCATCCCAACCCTTCCTTTCCCCCCCTCACACCCCCTCACTCCCCTTCTCCCAATACTCCCATACTTCCTCCACACCCCCTCCCCCCCCCTCTCCCCCCCACCCGCCCCCCCCCCACCCCCCCCACCCCCCCGCACCCCCCCCCCCCCCCCCCCCCCCCCCCCCCCTCCCCCCCCCCCTCCCCCCCCCCCCCCCCCCCCCCCCCCCCCCCCCCCCCCCCCCCCCCCATAAACCATCCCCACCACCCCTCTGGCACTATCAGTCGTCATCGCACCAGTCACTGGATATCCGAGAGGTCCGTGAACCTTTTGGATGCTAGAAGGCACCTCCTGGCTGGTTCTGAACACAATGTGACCAGACGGGCTATTAGGCGTGAACTAAAGCGGAGCCTACGTGCTGACAAGGAAGCCTGGTGGACCAGTCGGACTCAAGAAATGGAGGAGGCAGGAGCAGTAGACAATTACCGGCAGCTCTTCCAGCTAATACGCACCACTGGTCCGAGAAAACCAGGCTTCAGTGAGACAATCAGGGACAGCGCGGGTGCACTGATACACACTAAGGAGCGCCGTATGGCTCGTTGGGCTGAGCACTTTGAACATCAGTTCAGCTGGCCCCCTGCTCCCGGACCTCTTCCTATTCAGGTGATGCAGGACGAGCCATGGACGGTTACTTTAGAGCCTCCGTCGGAGGCCGAAGTCCGAAACGCGACCATAGCCCGCAATCGTTTTCGTGCCGCTGGCCCGGATTCCCTCCCACTTGCACTATTTAAGGATGGAGGTGAGGTCCTCTGCAAAGCACTGACCTCCCTATTCGAACGTATCTAGAACGAAGAGAGTGTGCCGGCTAATTGGAGCGAATCGATTATAGTGGCAATATACAAGAAGGGCAGTCGCACAGACTGTGCGAACCACAGGGGTATTAGCCTAACGCCAGTTGTGACAAAATTACTGGCCTCGATTATCGTACGTCGCCTCACTGCAGAACGGGAATCTCGGATTAGAGAAGAGCAGGCCGGTTTTCGCCCAGGACGTGGCTGTATAGACCATAAATTTACTTTGCGGCAGGTGCTAGAGCAGCGCCACGCATACCGCAGACCGACAATAGCTGTGTTCCTCGATTTCAAGAGTGCGTTCGATTCAGTCGATCGATCGATTCTGTTCGAAGTACTTGCGCGGAAAGGTGTTCCCACGAAATATGTGAACATCCTTCGTGCTCTATACTCGAACACTAGAGGCCGCGTCAGGGTCTATGGTGCCCTATCGGATAGCTTTTCGACTACAAGTGGCGTTCGACAGGGTTGCCCGATTTCCCCATTTTTGTTCAATTTCGTTGTGGATTCTATCATGGAGTGTTCCCTTGCGCAATCTCACGATGTAGGTGTTGAAGTGCTGCCTGGTGAACGGTTAGTTGATCTAGATTATGCGGACGATATCGTCTTGCTTTTCGACAATGTTGAGGCGGCACAATCAACCCTGAATAGCCTATCCAGAGTGGTCCCATTATTTGGCATGCACTTCGCAGCTTCAAAGTGCAAAGTGTTGCTGCAGGACCACCAGCCACTTGATGACTCCTTGACGCTTGCTAACGAGGAACTCGAGGTGGTTGATCAATTCACTTATCTTGGCAGCTGCATCAGCAATGATGGGCGCATAGAAACTGACGTGAGCTCACGCATTGCAAAGGCTAGAGCTGCCTCCTTGAACCTGCGTCATCTTTGGCGACAGAAGGGAGTTTCCCTCCGTCTGAAAGGCCGTGTATACAAGGCCACAGTGAGGGCCGTTCTGCTTTATGGTAGTGAGACTTGGCCCCTTCGGTCTGAAGATCTGAGGCGCCTTCAAGTCTTTGATCATCGTTGTTTGCGAAGCATTGCTGGTGTCGGATGGCACCAGCGTGTCCGCAACGATGATGTGCGTAAGCGAGTACTAGGTGGTGATGATCATGCTAGCTCCCTAGAACAACAGATAGCACTGAATAAGTTACGCTGGCTCGGGCACGTGCTACGCATGCCTGTTCACCGCTTACCTAGGAGGGCCTTGTTCAGTCTACCAGGTGTCGGATGGCGCAAGGCTCGAGGTGGACAGAAGTTGACTTGGCAGCGAGAAATGAAGTCACTGACGACCAAACTGGGTGCCGTTGGTCCGTCTCGCCTTCCGGGTTGGAGTCCACGTGACTCACCTTGTGCTTGGCTCGAGACTTTACAGGATATGGCTCGCAACCGACACCAGTGGCGCGTCTGCTGCCGTCTCCTAATCGGATTGTCTGTTTAAAGTGTGTTTGGTGCTGAGTTATCTGCGGGGTAATGGCTGATTATGACGCGTGGCAGTGGAAACCGCAAGGAAGCTGTCTCGCCGATGCCGCCTTATCTTTGCACGATAGCCAGCTGTTTGTGACGGTATGTTGTCTACACAAGGTGTAGGCGCCTTGACCCAGAATGTTTGCTTGGGGCATTAAGGTTTTCAGGTGAGTCCCCCTTCTCTCCCTCTTCTTATTCTTTATTTCATAAGTCCTCATGGTTGTATGGCAGCGAAGCATCAGTTCAAATGGCTGATGTACTGCTGTTGATGATGATGATGATGATGTAAGTGCTTATAAAGGTGGCAAACTTACCTCTTCCGAGTCATAGGCGAACAGTCATCAGTCGCGCGCTGATCCTAGTCGGCTCACCCACCAACTGGCCATTTAGGCGATCGGATATTGCAAGTCCGACCCCATGTTCACGTGGTGCTGAGGCGGCATTGCCCACCCAGTAGAATGTGTAGCCAGCACCTGCTTCATGCAAATTACCTTGCTCAGGAAGCCGGCTTTCACTGAGCGCCGCAATATCGATGTTGTAGCGCGCCAGTTCCGTCGCGAACAGTGCAGTGTGTCGCTCCGGGCGCTCGCTGGAGTTCCGGTCCAGTAGTGTGCGCACGTTCCAGCACCCGATGCTGAGTGCTTTGCGCGCAGGCATACGATTGCATTGGTGGGCAATAGCACGCGAGATGCTCGTTGTGATTCGGAGGTTTGCTTGAAGGACTCCACCCGGAGCCCTTGGCTCAATAGCCTGACCCACATGGCAGTGGGGAGCAGATCCAGCTCGGGAATGTGATTGCAGAGACATATTCGGATCTGCTTGGCAGCTGTCACATGCAGCCTTGGAGGTACTGGAACGATGCATGTGTTTTGCGACCGTAGTAGGATACGTACCTGCGACCACGGCCAGACGCAGGTGGATTTTGGCGGGTTTGCACCAATTTGACCAGGGGCTGCCTGGCTTGAGGCGGGCAGTAGCAAACCATTGAACACCTGGATGTGCCCTCTCACCGTCAGAGACAATGCGTGTCGCTCGTGCTTTACTCCCGTCGAGCTGTGAGCTTATAACCCGTAGATCTGTTGTCTCCCTTGGCTAGGTTTTACGGGAAGAGGACCATCGACCATTTCCTAACCTCCGAAGAGGATGTTACTATCAGGAGGTATGTCTTCATGCGGTAAACCAAATTGCCAACCTGGATATTGGGTCTGTACACAGTACAAGGAACTTCTGGATGCTCACCGACGTACTCCGGCTGGATGCGAACACAATGAGACTGGCAAAAATCTCAAGGCAAGGCTCCGTGCTAGCCTGAAAAGAGACTGTGGATCCTGTTCTCATCGTGCCTCGGAGACGGAAATGGACACTGCCATTCGTAACCATAGGAAGTAATTCCGTTGTAGACGACATACCGTCACAAACAGCTGGCTATCGTGCAAAGATAAGGCGGCATCAGCGAGACAGCTTCCTTGCGGCTTTTACTGCCCCGCGTCGTAATCAGCCATTATCCCACAGATAACTCAGTACCAAACACACTTTAAACAAGCAATCCGACTAGGAGACGGTAGCAGACGCGCCACTGATGTCGGCTGTGAGCCATGTGCTGTAAAGTCTCGAGCCAAGCACAAAGCGAATCACGTAGACTTCAGCCCGGAAGGCGAGACGAACCCACTGCACCTAGTTTGGTCATCACTGACTTCATTTCTCGCTGCCAAGTCAACTTCCGTTCACCTCGAGCCTTGCGCCACCCTACACCCGGCAGACTAAACAAGGCCCTCTTAGGTAAGCGGTGATCAGGCATACGTAGTACGTGTCCAAGCCAACACAACTTATTCAGTGCTATCTGTTGTTCTAGGGAGCTAGCATGATTGTCACTACTTAGTGCTCGCCTACGCACATCATTGTTGCGGACACGCTGGTGCCATCCGACACCAGCAATGTTTCGCAGACAACAATGATCAAAGGCTTGAAGGCACCTCATATCTCCAAACCGGTGGCCAGGTTTCAATACTATAGAGCAGGACGGCCCTCACTGTGGCCTTGTATCCACGGCCTTTCAGACGGAGGCAAACTAACTTCTGTCGACAAAGATGTCGCAGGTTCAAGAAGGCAGTTCGGGCCTTACATTGCGTGAACTGACTTTAGTTTCTATGAGCCTATCGTTGCTGATGCGGCTGCAAAGTAAGTGAATTGATCAACCACTTCGAGTTTTTCATTAACAAGGGACAAGTGGTCATAAAGTAGCTGGTGGACCTACAGCCACATTTTACACTTTGAAGGTGCGAAGCGCATACGAAATAATGGGACCACTCTAGGCAGGCTATTCAGGGTTGATTGTGACGCCTCAACACTGACAAAAGCAAGACGATATCGTCCACATAATTAAAAGCAAGTGCCCTTTCCCCAGGCAGGAACTCAACGCCTACATCGAGAGATACCACAAGGGAACACTCCATGATAGAGTCCACAGCGAAATGGAACAAAAATTGGGAAATCGGATAACCCTGACGAACGTCACTTGTGGTCGGAAAGCTGTCCGACAGGTCACCATAGACCTTGACGCGGCCTGTAGTGTTCGAGTATAGAGCATGTAGAACGTTCATATATTTCATGGGAACATCTTTCCGCACAAGTATTTCGAACAGAATGCATCCATCGAATGCATTCTTCAAATCGTATGCGGCATGTGTGGCGCTGCTCTAGCACAGCCACGTTCTGGGCGGAAACCTGCCTGCTCTTCCCTGATCCGAGATTCCCACTTTACAGTGAGGTGAGGAACGAGAATCGAGGCATGTAATTTTCTCACAACTGTCGTTAGGCTAATATCCCTGTTTTTAGAACAGTCTGTGCAACTGCCCTTCTTGTACATTGCCACTATAATCGATTCGCTCCAGTTAGCCGGGACACTTCCTTTCAGATACGTTCGAATAGGGAGGTCAGTGCTTT